AAAATTTTGAAAATTTTTTTTTTAACACAAGTCAAATAGATTGTAATAATATATAAAATTTTTAAATATTAGCATCCTTATTTTTTTCATAAATTTATACATAAAACAATAATCCGACCAATAATTCTCTAAGATAGTGACAGCTGGACATTTTCAAAACTGGATTGGAGTACAACTTTTCAAAACAGACTCCTATTTTTGTAAGAAAAATAATATGTAAAACTTTCACTGCTGTCCAAAAAAATAACATCTGGAGAATTCTTTACAATCATGAAATTTAGAATCAATATAAGCAACCAGACATAGTCAAAGTGATCAAACCGAATAAGGTATTTTGGTCGCTAAGTTTAGATTAGAAGATTACAACCCCACAAAACTGTTAACCTTCAATAAGCCAGGTGGCATTAAATAATAAGGAAGACCTTCATTCAGATGACATTGAAAAAGATTTGAAAACATTAAAAAGTGATTAATTGGAGACAACATGCATCTGCTGGACACAGCTGGAAAGAACTTGTTGGGACTTGTCCTGCTTTGGGTTGTAGAGCCAAGAAAGAATTCTTTCATGCAAAAAATTATTAAACTGTGGTAATATTAAGAGCACTCCTAGTGACAGAGTTGCCACAGAAAAAAATGAACAATATAGTTGCTTTTAGTTGCCTATAGCATGAAAATTGTTGCTGAAAGCCATTAAAACAGTTGCCTAAATAAGTACAAATTTTTTCAATAACATGACAAAAATTTTATTAAATAACTGAATTATCATATACCATGATCCTTTTAGTCAAGTTATATGACAAATATGATAATTTTTATATAAAAGTTAGTGCTCTAGCACTAAATTTATATAGATAGAACAAGTATAATTGGAGCAAAATTAAATATTTTTAATTGCTAGAATTCATTCAAAATACTTTTACATTAAAAAAAAGCATTCTTTTTTTCTAAAAAATTTTCCCTTTTATCAATAATTGATTTAGCAAATATATATATATATATTGTGAAGTGATTACTCAAATTCGAAGTTCTCGCATCGTAATATCGTATAAAAAGCGGCTAAATTTCTTAGCCTTTTCAGGCCGAAAATAGTTGCAAATAATCACATTTTAGTTGTCTATGGGAACTCTGTAGTAATGTCGCCTCTAAAAACTGAAGAAAAAAAAGTTTTGGCAACAAATGCTGAACATTAAAGAAGAATACAAGGTTCATACAGAGATCAGAAGAAGAAATCCAAGGAGTCCAAAATTTTAAGAACTTATCAAAAATTTAAAAACTTTTTGTAAAAGATAACTAGATAGTTTTACTTTTAATTAAAAAGCAGTTATTATAACGAATTTGCAAAAATGTATATTTTGCATAAGATATTTTTTTCTAGTCCTTTTGAAATAAATTTTGACTTTGTCAAACTTCATCAAGAAAAATAAATAAAGTTATCACTCTCACACATAAATAAATACATTTTCCAGTTTCAAATATGTTAATAAATCTTGTTAAAGTACATAGAAGAGATGTTAAAGATAAACACAAAAGCCTTCCAATCTTATATTTTTAAAACTGAATACATAAGAAAATCTAAGACATTTCATACAAAAAAAAAAAAAAAATTCACACTAAATCATTAATTAAGTTTGCTTGTAACAAGTAAAATAAAAATTATTTGCTGTTATTTTTTTTCTTCTTTCTTTCTTCATTTAAATTTTTTTTCTTTTTAAGTTTTTCTTAATCTATTAGATTTTGACAGCTAAGTCATATCATTTCGTTCATCAGCGGACTTAGTAAGCTCATCTATGCAACGCAATAATCTAAAGAGTTTTAAAGGACTAATTTGGAAATCTAAGTAGTTCCAAGTACTCTTTTCAAACTTTATTTCCAAGGAGTTTCTAAGAAGTATAAGGAGTCTGTACGAACCCTGAATTTCAGTTTTTAATTTACATAAGCATAATTAACAAGACTGCTTTGGATAATGCATTATCTATCATACTTTTGAGAAAAACATTTATAAAAGCATATTCAAAGAAATGTTAAAGAAACAATTAAATTTTCTGTTTAATAGATAACTAGAATAAGATTAAGAATAATATCCGGAATAGAATTTTAAAAAAGACATCAAGAAAAATTAAATAAATTCGAAACAGCTTTCTTTTTATTTGCTCTGCAGCTCNAAGTGATTACTCAAATTCGAAATTCTCTCATCGTAATATCGTATAAAAATCGGCTAAATTTCTTAGCCATTTCAGGCCGAAAATAGTTGCAAATAATCACATTTTAGTTGCCTATGGGAACCCTGTATTAATGTCGCCTCTAAAAACTGAAGGAAAAAAAGTTTTTGCAACAAATGTTGAACATTAAAGAAGCATACAAGGTTCATACAGAGATCAGAAGAAAAACTCTAAAGAGTCCAAAATTTTAAGAACTTATCAAAAATTTAAAAACTTTCTGTAAAAGATAACTAGACAGTTTTAGTTTTAATTAAAAAGCAGTTATTATAACGAACTTGCAAAAATGTATATTTTGCATAAGATATTTTTTTCTAGCCCTTTTGAAATAAATTTTGACTTTGTCAAACTTCATCAAGAAAAATAAATAAAGTTATCACTTTCACACATAAATAAATACATTTTCCAGTTTCAAATATTTTAATAAATCTTGTTAAAGTACATAGAAGAGATGTTAAAGATAAACACAAAAGCCTTCCAATCTTATATTTTTAAAATTGAATACATAAGAAAATCTAAGACATTTCAAACAAAACAAAAAAAAAATCACACTAAATCATTAATTAAGTTTGCTTGTAATATATAAAATAAAAATTATTTGCTGTTATTTTTTTTTCTTCTTTCTTTCTTCATTTCAATTTTTTTTCTCTTTAAGTTTTTCTTAATCTATTAGATTTTGACAGCTAAGTCATATCATTTCATTTCCCTGCTTGAACAGCATATTCATCAGCAGACTTAGTAAGCTCATCTATGCAACGCAATGATCTAAAGAGTTTTAAAGGACTAATTTGGAAATCTAAGTAGCTCCAAGTACTCTTTGCAAACTTTTTTATTTCCAAGGAGTTTCTAAGAAGTGTAAGGAGTCTGTACGAACCCTGAATTTCAGTTTTTACTTTACTTGAGCATAATTAACAAGACTGCTTTGGATAATACATTCTCTATCATACTTTTGAGAAAAACATTTATAAAAGCATATTCAAAGAAATGTTAAAGAAACAATTAAATTTTTTGGTTAATAGATAACTAGATTAAGATTAAGAATAATATCCGGAATAGAATTTTAAAAAAGACATCAAGAAAAATTAAATAAATTCGAAACAGCTTTCTTTTTATTTGCTCTGCAGCTCTCCTTGACAAATTTTTAATTATTACTAAATCTGACTATAACTGATCTGATGTTTTAAGCTTATTGCAGAGATGGAAAAAAGAAATGAAGGATAAGGTGAGAATAGGAAGATATTCAGGAAGGCAAGGCTGCATTGGAAGTGGATATTTGGCACTGTGGTGATGAATTTGTGATTGCACGAAAGGGAAAAAATTATGAAGAAAGTGGTAATAAGAATATAATTTATGCAATTAAGGTTTTATTGGTGTTTTGTATTGCTTTTAACATGTTCTGAAGAGATTTAATCATGAAAGTTTAGTTTTAAGATGGAGTAATGCTTTTTGATTGGAGAAAGAGTATTAATGTTAGCATTATTATATTTAAGAAAGAGAATTTGAATATAAGTTGCTTTTAATATTAAATAGTGTAGTTGAGTGTTGCTTGTCAGCCTGAATTAGTAAAGTAGTTATGAAGAGTTACTATTTTGTAAAAGAATGATTGTTTATTAATGAAATATGGAAATTCTATAGTAAAATACAGCCTCAATACCATATTTTTAGTTAAGCTTTTGCTTACTTATATTGGGGGGATTTTTATTTCTTCATTTTTATGAAATTATGGGCATAAGAGTAACAAAACTATATTCTGGATAAAACATTTGATACAGAGATGTCATTTTTTAAATTGTATATAATGCTTTAGTTTTATGAAACTTGTGGCTGAGTGAAAACAAAATGTCTGCGGGGGTGAAAAAAAAATCTTATAGAGATCTTCTGTATTCTTTATTTAGAAAATCACAAAGTGGTTGGCAAAATTGTTTTTGAAATCGAATTTTCATTTAAATTGAATTTTTTTTTTTACATAAATCAAACTTTTTTAATAATAGGGAGACAATTGAACAGTTAGATACACAATGAAGAGTAAACTAGTTTAGATCAGAACACATTACAGAAAGAAAAAAATATTGAAATTACTATGTGCCGTCTTTCATCAATATTGCTAAACACTAATGACGTATTTAATTTGTTTTAAGAACACTTAAAGTATTTAAATAAACATAAAAATAAATGAGTATTATTGAAATATGTTAAATACCTAGCTGATTGTTTTACATACAGCTAATGAAAAATTATAATTTAACAGTCTTATCCACTTTTAGTCTCTAGTTTTATTTATCTACTTGTCTATTAAGAAACATAATAATTTACCCTTTAATTATATTTTTTGGATAAAACCTTCATTATCAACAAAATCAGACTTTAAAAAAAATCACACCTTAAAGAATATAATTACAAAATTTTTTTAACTTAATAACTTATTAAAAAAATCATTTTGTTTAAAAAAATGATTTTCTTAAAAAATATTTATATAGTTAATTTAAAACATGACTTAAATCAAGTGATTTAAATTATATCAACCTAGTATCCCAATAATAAAAGTGAATTTTGAGTTTAATAGGGTTCCAATATTTGTTAGAGTTTTTGTTATGTAACAAAGGTGGCAGTAGTAAAAATGGGCTAAAAATGGTTGGCAGCGAAAAGAAATTACCAAAATTGCCGGGGAAACAAAGTTGTTCTAAGAACTAAATCAAATTTTAAATAAAAATATTCTTTTCTCTTCATTTTATTCATGAATCTTTCAATATAAAGTAAAAATAAATGCATAAAAAGCAAACATACCTTAAAATGCAATGAAGCAGTATTGGATCTCTTATTCACATTCGGAAACTCCTGATGAAGAAAAAAAAATTACAAAGTATTTGGTGCACCTTTGAAAGAGAAAAAAGTATAAATAAAATTAATAATGCCTAATTATATTTATTTGAAAGATATTCTTAAACTATGAGCATAATTTAATGAGAAACTCAATAGTTTCTAAGCAAACATTTTTTACATAAGCTTTCATTAAATCAACTAGAAAATTGTTAAAAAAAATACTGTTCAAAGATATTTTTATATTAAAAATAAATAAATAAACAAAAAATGTATGAATGATAGAAAAAATTTGCATGTAAAAATTCAAAGTTATGAGATTGCTAAAAAAATATATTCTTACAACTGAACTTACTTAAAACTTATTATTTACTCAAAACTTATTATTGAACTTATTTCGTAAAACAAATTAATTAATTAAGAGATCAAAGTATTTTTATTTGAAGAAAAGTATTAAACTTGATACTTTTTGAGTAAGAACAATATAAGAAAGTTTACACAATAAACTGTTTTATGTAATTGCTTGTTAGAAGCGACGAATGATAACATTTATAAGAAAAATGCACTTAAAAATAATTTACGACAAAAAATTTATTTTCCTGTACCATAGATGAAAAACCATTTTTGTATTGTAGATAAAAAAAAACAATTACAACAAATTCATAGGAGTGCAAAAGTTGGAAAAAAAAGCAGGAAATTAAAATTTTCATTTACTTCAAACTGTTAATCAAAAATTGAAAATTGTTACTAATCCGCATGAGATGAATGTGATGATCTCAATTATAATTATTTTTATTTGTTTTTCAATTTTTGAAATCATATCTATCATAATAAACAAGACTTCGAAAACAAAATTGTTGCAATCCAATTATTAGAGAAAAATTACAAATTATATCAGTAAATGATGCAGAATACAGCTGGAAAAATATTTTTTCTGGTATGTTTATTTCTTAGTATTTTTTATTTAAGACAGTTCAGGGGCTAAATTGAGAATGCTATAAGCCACTTTTGGCCAAACAGCCAGAGGTGAATTCCTTAAATTTTTCATTCATACTTTTTCTTTTAATCTTCTGTTAGAAACTTCCATGCCATTCCAATGGACACTAATGATAATCTTTTAATGCACCTCCAATTTTTAAATAATGATTATAATCTCATTCTATCATATTATAATCTCATTATAATCATATTATAATCTCAAAATATAGTTATTGTTTTTTTCTTCTTATTTATGTATGCGATTTGTCAGTGCTTGCAAAGAAGAATTCTAAAGTAGTAAAATGAATTCATTTTACATTTCTAAAGAAAAATAATTAATTAAAATAGGAAAAAAAGTCTCTGGTTAAGCATTCGGTATTTCTGAAAACAAATCAACATTTTCAAGAATCTAGTCAATTGAAATATATCTGCCCCTCATCAGCATCTCCACGTTTTATGTGCTTATACTTAAATTTTCACTTAATGTAATTTAATTTAGCCGCATAATTTCAGCTTATAGCATTAAACTAGACGTTTTTGTTTCACTTAAGTTAAAGAATTTAATAAAAAAAATTTGCAAAAATTAGAAGAAATTTTAATGGACATTTTTTTAATTATTTATAAAAAAATTAAAGAGACAGTAATGGTAACATCTTTTCTCAACATTTTAATTCTTTGAGTAAATATCAACTTCGTTACAGTAAAAAATTAATTTTATATGTGTTTATAAAATTTAATTCTTGTTTTTGTAATGTCGAACCGAAAAAATACACATGTTTGTTTGTAATACTCTTATAACATAGATTAACACAATTAAAATAAAACTAATAAATATACTGCAATATATAAATTTCATTTTCTTTTTGAAAGAATGAATTAAAAGTTTTACTGATATCACAAGTTTTTTAAAAGGCTACTGCTATGGTGAAGATAATTCCCTGCATTAAATTCAAGCTAGAATAAATAAATAAAGTCAATAACTTGAGCTTCTCTACTTTTTTAAAACCTAAAATTATTTTATAAAAATATTGATCTAACATTTCCTTCACTTAACATGAAAATAAATCTTTGAAATTAAATTGAAATATATTTTAAAATTAAGTTTAACATGGCTACAAAATATTGCAAAACAAATTTATTATGTATTTATAATGCATCATTTTAATAAGCAATATCAGGCATCCATAATTCATTTTAACAATCTATTTATTAAACTTAAAATTCTTAATTATTAAGAACTAGAAAATCTTGCAAACTATTAACAAATGTTTCAATGGACACCACTGAAATTTAAAAATATTATTNTTGATCCAACATTTCTTTCACTTAACATGAAAATAAATCTTTGAAATTAAATTGAAATATACTTTAAAATTAAGTTTAACATGGCTACAAAATATTGCAGAACAAATTTATTATGTATTTATAACACATCATTTTAATAAGCAATATCAGGCATCCTTAATTCATTTTAACAACCTATTTATTGAACTTAAAATTCTTAATTATTAAGAACTAGAAACTCTCTGCAGACTATTAACAAATGTTTCAATGGACACCACTGAAATTTAAAAATATTATTGAAATACATTATATTAAGGCAAATTAAGGCAAGACGTAATGGCTTTCACAGCACAATGATTGTAAATGGACAGCAAAGATGATGTCAGTTCATAAATAATCACTTGATGTCCCGTTTCAGATTAAAACAAAAGTAAGCGTTTTTTTGCTGAAAAATAACTTAATGATTAGCCCTCTTAGAAAAGTTACAAAATGTTTTCTGGGAGTTATGAGGGATTTTGAGTGGATTAATATCTTTAAAAAAATTTATTATTAATATTCGTCCATTCCATAAGTTTTATTTATAAAATTAGAAATAATTATTATACTCTTATATCAATGCAACTTGTTTACAATTTTAAATATCTAGCGATTTCAAAAATAGCTTTGATGCTTTAACACTTCATGGGATTGTTGAGCCTGAATAAAAATTATAATTTTATTTATTAAGGGATTTGTTTTAATTAATTGTATAATAACATTAACCATAATATTCAGAAGTTTTAGTTTTGTNAAATCTTGCCAACTATTAACAAATGTTTCAATGGACACCATTGAAATTTAAAAATATTATAAAAATATGTTATATTAAGCTCACATTTTCATTCATTTGAATAAAAATTATAATTTTATTTATTAAGGGATTTGTTTTAATAATTATATCCTAATAACATTAACCATATTATTCAGAAGTTTTAGTGTAGTCATTGTTATTGAAAAATATTTATAAATTGTACTTCAATTGGTAAATTTAAATCAAATTAAGCTTATTTCTTTTTAAATAATGATTTTTTCTGTATCATTTATCTTTTTATTTTAAAATCTATTTTGACACTGGATTTTTAAAAATAAAGAAGGCAAGTTAAACATGAGTAACACAGAACAAATTGTATACCTAACATTTTAACAATTTCATACAAATTAAATGTTTTGAAATACAAAACTCAGGAAAAGTAAATTTTTTTTACCATCATTTGTGTTCAGCATTTTCTTGATGCTTATTTGACCAAGCAAATAACTCAACATCAAGAGATTTACATAAAGCTTTGACCATTTCAGTCTTTCCTATACCTGGTGGGCCACTCAAAATAAGGAAACACTCCTATATTAAACAATAAATGTACATTAGTTTTTGAACAATGTGTTACAATAAACCAATTTAAATCAGCTTGATCTAAATTGCTATTAAAATAATAATTAAATCATTTGGATTTCTTTTTTTTAAAAAAAAAAATCACAAATTTAAAAAAAAAAAAAATCTTTCTAATATGTATGATTTTTTAGTAACATTTAATAAAACTTTTTTACATAAAATGAAATCTGTTTCTATTTTTGAATTTCTGTTTCTGTAGAATCATAATTGCTCTTTATTATTATCATACTATTATCAGAACTACTCAATATATAACACACAAAAATAAAGTAAAAAAAACAACAACAAAAAAAACATGTAAGTTTTTTCTTAAGCAACAATCAATTGATAGGACCTTCACTTCCTAATTAATTTGATTTATCAATATTTCTGATGCAAAAAATTAAATGAATGTTATAAAAAGAAAGGTTTTGATTAAGCTAAGAAGAAAATTCTAATATTTTCATAACATTAATAATGAAATGATTTCATTGAAATCTTTAGTCAGGGCAGATTCTTCCATTATCTTTTTTAAGAAAACTATTTTGACTTTCGAAAAGTTTGAATTTCTATTTTTTTCCCTATAGCAACAGGTGAAAAAGCAATTGCTTACTTATGCCTCCGAGAGATGCTTATTTATAAATCACTGTGCATGATTTAGTACACTCCAAAATTAAAAATGATTTTGGAGAATGAAAAATAAGTAAATATATTTGAATAAATAAAATTTTTCAATAGTTTCTAAAAATGTAAGTCCAAAATAAAACAAACTTATTTACCAAGACGTCTTGAATTAATCAACAATAATAATAAAAAAAAAATGGTAGGTCGTTTTTCTTGACTAGTAAAGTGTTACTCAGAGTTTGTTCATCTTACAACATTTATCGGCGAAAATTTTCGACCCATGTTGAAAATTATTTTTTCCGCACTGAAACAAATCGTCGTGTTTCCGCTTTTGTGAAGTTCATAATAAAGTTGAGTCTTAGAATAAAGTAGTTTTAAGATTTCGCTTTTGCCATTAAAGCTGTCTTTACCAAAATTATTATTTATTTTGTTGTTTGTTTCACTTATTCTCTGCATGCTTGTGAGTTCAATTATATAATTACGGCTTAGAAGCCATAGTCAAGTATAAAGACTTTATTACGGCACCCACAGCAGTCATTTGCATTTGTATTTCTATTTGTTTACTTTATGCAAGACACTCAAACAATTTTTGAGCTTTAAGCTGTAAAAATATGAGCTTATAGCTTTTGACACATTGCAGAGATTTTAACTGTAGTACTATGTAAGCTATAATTTAATGTTGTATTTTTTTCGATCAGAGCAAGTGGAGATACAGACCCATCAATCCATCTGGAAGTTTGTAGTTAGCTAAAAACTTTTTCAAACTAAAAACTTTTTATTTATTTATATATTTCTTTAGCAATGGGACATCCTAATATTTTAAGAAATCAATTTTGTGAACAGGGCACTGTTTGCACCGTCCGCTTTAATTGTATGTTTTGTAAACTAATTATGTTGTAATGCTCTTTGTTTTTGTTGCTAAACCCTTTTATTTTATTTTTAGTTGATGGAAACTATTGCATAACCGATGGATCTGTTAAATCATTTATGGATTCTTCGTAAATCATCGATCCTGAAGACTTATATGGGACTTGGATGTAAAGTCTTAGAAGTTTAATCTTCAGCTAATAGATCACATACAGCAAAGGACAAAAGCATTTTTTATTGGGATGTTAGTACTGCTGAAATAGTAAGAAACTTTAAAGGTCATGCTGGTATGTTCTTTTTTTTGGGGGGGGAAGGAAAATTTTCTTAATGATGATTTCATATGTAATTATTGGAGATCTTAATTGTTTCAATAAATGCCATTTTTTTCACATTACATTAGGTAATATTTCCTTATCACTACCTTTTTGAGCCAGCTACTCTCACTAAATAGTATTTGAGGTACTTTGGGTTCAACCCATCTACCTTTCATCACAAATAAGTAAATCCCTTGGTGCCATCATAATGAAAAGCAATTTCCAAAGATATTAAATTTATCAAATAATTATTTTAAAAAATATTTATGTCTAAAAATATGTAATAAAAAGTGTAATCAAAACAAAGTAAAAATATATATATTTTTTATAATTGCACATTGAATTATTCTTGATACTAACTATGCTTATCAGTTTTGATGTACAATCCCATTCACACCATATCAGGGCTATTCGCGTACATTTCCTTTGAAGAGGTGATTCCTTACTCTTGAAAATATTCCATTGCCCTCTCTTGGATGCTAGGCAAATCTCAAATTCCAATCATTTTGCAGCAGAGTTTGNTTATAGCACTGCCGGTATTTGTTTATTTCAGGGTTCATTTTATGCAAGACATTATTATAATTTGTGAGCTTTATGCTGCAAAATTATGAGCTTATAGCTTTTTAACACATTCCAGTGATTTTAACTGTAGTACTATGTAAGCTATAATTTAATGTTATATTTTTTTTCGATCACAGCCAGTAGAGTTGCGGACCCATCAATCCATCGGAACACCCCGAAATTTAAACATTGTTTGTATGCTTCATTTTCTATCTTAAAATGGAGGATAAATGGCATAAATTTTTTATGTTTTTTTTGCGAAAAAGTAAAAAATAAAATATTTTGTGTAACTTATAAGAATCAAGTTGTTGTAGTCCCAGTAAATTTTTAGGATATTATGTTTATTTTATACAAAGTTTATCCTCAAATGTGTTGTAAGAATTTATTATAAAATGTTTAAAAGGAAGCAGATGAAAAAGTCAGTGCTTTTCAAAAAACATGAAATAAGCCACAAACTTTTCATCTGCTAATTAAAAATGCCTAACGATTTTTAGGAAAGGAGGCAAAAATTGTCCTTTGCAGCCGCTGCTCGAATTTCAGGACGCTAGTACAAAAGTACAAGCAATTCTGGAGTTAGATGTACACACACAAAATCTTCATTTTATTATTATACATAAATGTCATTTTGTATGTTGAAAAAAATATTCTGGAAGTTATGTTTTACTGTCAATTGTCTTATTTCTACTTGCACTTTTAAATTATTTCCCCCCATTTTTTATAAATGAAGTAAGTACAATAAGGTAATGTTTTTATTTTATAAATTTTCAGCAAAATATGTTTTTTAAATAATCTTAAATGTAATAATGTAGCTTATATTTTATTTCAAATTATTAAAGTAAAGTTAATTAAATCCTTAAAAAACAATTTAAAAAATGTATATTTTCAATTTGTCATTTATAAGATGAAATCTTAGGCAGAAAAACACTTGTAATTGGATTAAACATTCCTTAAAAAAGAGAGAGAGAAAGCTTATAATGCCTGGAAAAACAAACCTTACTGTTTTGTTAGTTAGGCTAATATTAGCATTTTGAAAGTTCTCCTAGTATGCATGTGATTTTGATCTAAATGTTGACAGATATTTATACTTTTCATCACTTACTATAATTCATCAGTTTAGGTTATGATGATGCTACAAAGTTCAATGAAGAATCTAGTTTTACTATCTGTTTCAGTTGATAATACTGTTTTTGCTTGGGATTGTCGTAGCAAGTCTTGCGAGCCTATTCAGGTGATTTATCTTACTTTTACTGTTGGGTTTTAAATGGACAAATTATTAAAGTAATGAATTTAAATACTATGTATCTTGCTTTCAGTTTCCTTTTCTTTATTATTATTTTCTTTAAATTTTGTTAAATCAATTAAATTAATTTTATTAGTAGCAAAGAATAGCAAACAATTTGTTAGTTTGCGACTGTTTAATTTTAAACTTGGCTCAAAAGAAATATTTTCTGTATTTATATATGTGTGTACAGAGTATTTGAAAATTATCACCTTTAGTGTATATTTTTTAAACCTTTTTCAAAAAATTTAAACATTTAGTGGTTGCAAATTAAAATTTAAATGAGAATAAAACAAATATATCTAAATGTAATGGATCACTACTGAAAAAGGTAGGACTTGAAAGACCAGAACTTATGTGAAGCCACCACTAGGGAAGTACTTTGAAATTTAAAGTTGACAGAAATTTTATTTTTAAGCATATTTTCTTTGTATGCTTATTATAAAAAAGTATAATAAATTATTTGAGCATGACTAAGAATAAAAAAACATGTGAATAAATAAAGCTCAAATATGAAAATACATTATTTGTGCTGGATCCACATTGTATTTTGCTTTAGTCTAGTATTACCCACTCCTTTTTTGGCTATTTGTGTATAGTTTTACTTATAAGGAATTATTTAAAAATAAAGGTTACTAAGGTTATTTCAAATTTATTCCTAATAAAAATACTTTCTATAAAAAATTCTTTGGTGGCCATATTTTGAATACTACAGGGTGCATAGCATTTTTATACAATGATTTACGTTTTTTAAAAACCTTTAAAAGTGCTTATTTTCATTAGGATTTGTAAAAAGTGCTTAATTGTCCTTCTTTCAAATAAAGAGTTATTTATTTATTTTTTGATCGCCGTCATAAATTACAAAAAGAAGCTTGATTTTCACAATTTTTTTCTGCTATATTTATCAGTAACTTGTTATTTTATCATGATTATGTAAAGTCTTTGAAAATAACTTTGCATTCTGTTGATTATATAAATGAGGAACTTTAAACAATATGAAGAAAAATTTTTTATTTCCGCACATATCCTAATTATGATTTTTTCTTCTGATAAGTGATTAAAAATATTTTTTGAATGCTTTCTTTATATTCCTAGTACATAATACAGAGTGCTATGTATCCTTGGATTATATACCTAGTACAGAGTGCTACACACTCTGTACTAGATATTTGCCAAGCCTAAGTAAAATGTGTTTTATATAATAAATTTAAGGTGAATTAATAAAAGATTCATTGATATGTATTTGACCTTGGAAAAAAATAAGCATTTTATCTTAAAGTTTTAAATTTTTCTTTTGAAACACATTAAAAGGAAATGAGTTTCTTCTTTTTAAGATGCAATTTCTGTTATAAAATCTTGTATGTATGATACAAAGGACATCTTTGTATTAGAGCATGAAATACCTTATTTGTCTCCCTGTTGAAAAAATAATGGCATTTTATTGTATCTATCTTTGAATTTTATAATGAAATGGGCAGAAATTTCCCATTGTTTAAATAAATTTTGTTATTATTGAGTATAATTTTAAATTTCATGTGATGCAAAATATTTTATGACATCTTTGTCAATATCACAGCAGAAATATGTTAATTTAAAACTGTATCAGAGCATGAAATGCTTTTTTTAAAAAAATCTTTTGTAAAAATAATTGTTTATTACATATGATGTATATTTACTTTTTATATTATAATATAATGCAGCAGANTTTGAAATAAGTTTTGTTTAATTTAGTATAATTTTTTATTTTAGTTTGACATGATTCAAAATATTCTATGATTCCTCTGTCTGTATCAGAGAATGAAATACTTTTTTTGAAATCTTTCTTCTGTAAAAATATTTGCTCATTATATTTTAATGTATATTTACTATTTATGCTATAGTTAAGTGAGTAAAATTTTTAAATAGCTTAAATTGTTTTTCTTATATTTTAAATTAAAAATTTTAAATACACAAAAGATTCTAGGACATCATTGTCTGTATCAGAGCTCAAAATATATTATTTAAAAAATTTTTTTTGTTCTCTTGATATTAAAATGTAATCAGTTATATATATATATATATATATACCGATAACGAGCTATTACAAATATTATATTACACCAGCTTATATTGGGTTCACCTACTTTCCAATTTACAGAGTGTTCTATTAAGAACGCCCTAAATATAAATTTTTGGAATCTTTATCAAAAATGAATATAAAAAAAGCATATACATTGGTGATAAATAATTAACAAATAAGCAGGAGAAAACACTATTAAAAACTGACAAAGTGCAGTACATTAAGACTGATATAATAAACAAGACAGGTTTGATTCTAAGAGAAGTTAAAAGTTGATTATTGGAAATGCTTTCAATCTGCAACTAAACCTATTTTGTTTATTACATCCATCTTCCTATATCATGGATTGTAAAATTTTGATAGTCCTTAATTTTTTCTCACTAAAACATTAATTTACGACTCCGAATGTGTTTCCTTTTTTATTTTCATTTTTGTTAGATTCTAAAGATACATGTTTAGAACATGTTACAGAACATCAAATAATTATAAATTTATATTGATGTCAAAGTTACTATATTTTATACCACTAACTAAAACTGATCTATTCTCTGATTAGGTGATTGGAGTTAAATTTCAGAAATATCATGCATGAAAAGTTCTTATTTTCAAATTTAGTGTGTTATCATTCTTAAATATTTTTTCATTATTGTAAATTTTTACAGTTTTGTCAGCGAAANGACAAATCAAATCTTAATCTTGTTAAGTACTAATTAAATTCCTAATTTTGGCATATAAGTAATAATCGAAGTAAATTGTTGAGATAGAAAGAATTTTTTATCTTGTTAAGTACTTATAGATATAGTTATAATTTATTTGAAGAGAAATACTATAATAGAAAAAAGTTGATTAAAAGAACTTGGTTCATCCACTTCAATTACTGTAAGTTTTAAAGAAATTTTTTTTATTGATATACAAAAGACTGCTCATTTATGATTAGTAGCTCTAAGAAGTAATTTTTTCAAAAAGTATTTAAATGTATATATATATACCGAAAGAAAGAATAGGTTTAGTTTCAAAAGAAAAAAAAATCGAACTTAAAATCAGTTATCAGTAAAAAATAGTCTTAAAATCAGTTATGTGTCTGTAATTATCAGTAATTTATTCAAGATACTTTTTGTTTTAACAATCTTATGAAACTTTTATAATTAATTGTTGAAAATATATGAAATATTTATAATAAATTATTAAAAATAAATTATAGCAATAATTTTTTTTTTTTAGTGACAACAGAAGTTAGGTTTAGCTGCAACCCTCTTTTTAAGAGAAATTTTAATAATTCCTACTATTATGTGTCAAAATCACATTTAAAGAAATAACTAAATTAATACAATGCTTTTTATTATGTAAATTTCAAGAAAATCCAATTTTCTTTAAATAAATTGCTTCATTGCAAAATATTAAACATAACTGAAAATAAAATACATTTATTTAACAAACAGTTCTGTATTTTCAAATGTAAATATGAAGGGTTTTCTGCATTAAAATACAGGATCAGTATCTAGAAAAGCATAATGCGCAATTAAGAAACTAAAGTAATTGCAAAAGAATGTTATAATCAGTCATTTAGGAAAAAACTTTCCAGAAAAATATAATGAAGTAATCATAGTTTACTAATGCATCATAAATAAAAAAAACTTAGTAGAATATGGAAGTTACCCCGTAGGTTGTCAACCCAATTTATGCTATAAGAAAAATGTCACTAGGAGTACAGAAAAGTCGCCAAATAGTCTCCTTTTCCTGACAATAGTTGCTTTTTTTTTAGCTTTTTTAGGCAAAAAAAAAAAAATCGCCTCAGGTCAAAAATAGTTGCAAATAGTAGTCTGTAGCAACCCTATATGTATATTGAATTAAATTTTTTCTGCCACCTCTTTAAATAAGTCATTTTATGAGAAAATAAGTTTTGTAAACAGCTTCCTATTGTACCATACTTTGTAAAGTTAATTGTATACAAATTCTCAAAAATGCCACTTAGAAACTAAAAATGACAAGTTTCTTCCACAGTAGAAAAAACAATCAAATAATCTACCTTGGAAGAGTTAGATCTCTCCCAACTATGCAAAAAAAATATAAAATACTCTTAAAAAAGCATTATCATCCAATATTAAAGCAGTTTATTTTATTATAAACATGTAATTGCAATTCAGTTTATTGTAATACAAGTTAATAGTTATTTTACAAGTTATTTATTACATTATTTCAAAATAAATTAAACATAAAAAGTCTCAATTGGAAGGGAAAATAAATTTATAGATTTTCTTAAGAAATAAAAACTGTAGTTTTT